ACATTATTAGGCTTGTAGCAATGTCTTTTTAATTGTCGTTAGTCTCGTGTCAATTCGCTGCATTTATTTTTCTGATTCCATGACAGATAAAATATTAGACCATATATGGTAACCACATGTTAAGAATAACGTTTGTACAGAATAAATTAAATGAGACATAACCAATATTTCGGGACAGAAATTACTTTTAAGAAGCGTTATCGAATGGACGTTATTATAAAATGCATTTAAAAATGTTATGTATCAAATTGAAATATATTAGTTTTACAAACTGACTATATCAATTTTTTTTTTAATTTTTACATCCTAGAAATAAATCGTTAGAAATCAATTTTACTGTTTCCATAATTGTTAAGTTTCTGAAGATCATAAATGAACAGGTATTCTGCATCTTTTCATCTGTAAATAACAAAAATTTGTATATTGTATATTTATTTAAAAAGATGAATATATGAAAAATCAATCTATGGTGATATTTAACATTTTTTTTTTAAGACATTGGGTATAATTTTCAAAACGTTTTCCCTTGCCAATAATACTGATTTAAATTATACCCAGCGTAATGAAATTAACAAAACAAATTTAATAGTTCAATGTAGGTCAAACTCTTTAATAGAATCTCTTATTTACGGGTTGTTTTAACAATTTCCCATTGAGATAATTCAAAGTTTGTGGCCGTCCCTATCATAAAACAGTTAATTTTCGTTGATTTGTTTATTTCTAGCGGAGAAGAGGACACCAGGCTATCTCACGATAACTGTAATATATACACTGAATAGAAGTCAGCTGGGCTGACTGGCGGAAGGTTCCTGAAATTTGTTCTCTGGACAAAAATTAAAAAAGAATCGTTAATAAAAACCAAACAATGCATGTTTTATCGAAGAATAAGCATATTTTTTCATAAACTTTATTCGCACTTGCTCTGTTACAGTCGTCAATATTGTTACTTTTAATTTTTTCAAGTTTTTAAAATGATTATATTAACACAATCTGTTAAGATATATTACCATCGAAACTCCCCCTTAATTATAACGGTATCTCTAAACCAATCGTATCATTCCGTTCCAATTCATATTTAACATCTACTGGAATATGGAATTGACATTCTGCAAGGGGTGGAACACTTAAATTATTCCTCAAAGATGCTAAACGACTATAGATCTACCATTCTACAAATAATTTTATTGAACTGCTTATATATTTTTTGGTGAGTATATGTATTGATAAAGGATTTTTCGCTCTATTCTGGTTAAATCAGATACATTATAGAACCAACCTAAGTTCCCTATTTATTCCAATAGACTCGTCCAGTATATCACATAATGAAGTTACATGTGTTTATAAGAATTGGTTTCAAATCTTCAACAGTTCCAATTTCTTCTGTTAAACGATATGACATTCAATATCTTCATTTATTGACCTCAGGTTTCCAGTGCACGTTTTGAGTGTTATAATTTAAGAATTAGTATTGTGTTAGAAATGGATTGATTCTGGTATCAGAGAGTTTCTATAGATAATTAAACATCAGAAAGTGCTGGACTATTTATATTATTTGATTAATAAATAATTTGACAATGTATTTAAGCGGTTGTGTAGGATGTATTCCTATTCCTTCAACGATTCCATTTTGGACACAAATTCCTCATGGACAAAACGATGTCCTTAAAAAGTCCCCGGCAGAAATATCGGAATTCCTGAACAGAACTTTATTACCTGCAGGATATAGTTCCAGGGCAGCCAATTTAAGGAATTCCCCACCACCATCAGGTTTAGCTAACTTAAGAGCATTATGTGCCACCGATATGGAAGTATTTATTTCACGAGGATTAAAGAAAACTGCAGATTCCTCTCATAATAAACAGTTAAAATTTGGAATTAACAGAATTTTATCAGAAGATTTTGGAAAAGAAAAACTTGAAAAAGGTAAAATAAAATTCTTTTAAAATTCAAGACAAAAATTCCATATAATAAACAGAATTAGCTGAATATATTATATCTAGTGTTTGTTAATTATTTCTAATTTATTTTTTTAGAAACATATTTTTAATTTATTATCTTGGTTAAATTTGATATTCCAATAATTGGGGATATCCTTTTTACTTGAGAGAAATGATCTTGATGTTTTCAGTAAGATAAAATTTAACTTTTATATTTACGATATTTTAATCAAACGATCTGAAAATTCCTTAGTTCATATCAATAAATAAGAAGGAATTTTTTGACACGAATTCCACTACAAGTTGACAAATATTTCCGCCGACGCGTGTCAACAATTCACGGGTTAAACCAGTTCAGAGATCTCAATTTCATTCATAGAAAAAAATACATAAGGAAATTATTAATTAGAATAATAACTATGACGTCATTAATTATATATGTTCAAATATATTCACATAAATTATTTAAATTTTACTCCATGAATTAACTTTCTTTGAAGTATACTATTCATTTACCACAAAATCAATCTTATATTCGATGAATATGGCTTAATTCACATCAAATCTATACATAATAGAACAAATTTAAATTTAAATCTAAATTATTCAATTAAATATAGAATATTTCACAGTATTCACTTCCTTCCATTTAAATTGAAACTTCAAAAAACCTTTTTTTTTTTACAACACATTTTTTCCTTTTTTGCAATTAATGCTTTTAATTTTTTTTCAACATAATAACTATTGCTTGAATATTTCTGGTTTATATTATTTGTCATTTGCTTAATTTCAGAAAATAGACAAGTCTTTTGTCATTCATCAGCAACAAGATTTTCAAAACCATCAGAACCCTGTCCTACATCAGACTGTTCATCATTGAGTCATCTTTATTCGTCCATCTCTGCTGTCCATTCTATTCATCCTTCTCTCTATCATTATAATTCTGGTGGAGATATTTTACCAGGTAAGTTACTAGTTATATTATCAGGAATAAAGGTTGACATAAAAAACGTCATCAGAAGGAAACGTGAAAACATATTAATCTGTGGTCGTTTTTCCTAAATAATCTTCGATGGCATTTGTCATAAATCTGATTTTAGAACATGAACTCAACAATATTTTTGTGATTCACCTTGTGAATGTGAAAGATCGATAAAAAGGTGGGTCGCCTTTCAAATGAGTATCGAACTTAAATTACTTCATGCAATGGAAATAATTTCGAATTTAACTGGCATTACGTTTGGATGCCCCGACGGAAAATATTGTCCCTGAGGGCTGAAAGTTTGCTGAGAAAAAAAAAATACAATTGGAATTTAAACTTTTATTGTAATAATAATACTTGCATCTTTGACAATTGGCGAATAAAACTATCATCAACACCATTTGTAATTTGTCCCCATAATTATGAAAATATTATTTAAAAAAGAGAATCTCACCCCCACCCCCAAAATATTTCAAAATTTGTAAAATTATTATCATTATATTTATTTATTATATTTAATAAAAATGAAATACTTACCATTACCTTTAAGAATAATATTAACAATCATAATAACAACAATAAAGGTCGATTCCCTTTACTCAATATTGAACCATGCCACCGATCTCTGGTGATCCAATCAAAACATAGTACCATTGAAAAAAAAAATGATTTTGAATGTTGAATTTTTAAAAGTATGTAGCTTCAATTTTTAAACATTAATTTCATAACATCGAATTAAATTTGACGTTCACCATTTTACTTACACATTTCTGTTTACGATCAATTGTACAGACCAACTATACATAATTTTACTTCTTCTGTTTATACTACCAACAACCTTAAATTATAAAATAAAATAAAGTTATAAATTTCTCAAATCATATATTCGCTAAACCTGAAAATTTTTTTTATCCAAAAAAACAAACTAATTTGCAAGGTGCGTACTTTTAACACCAAATTGATACATTTGGAACATGATTTCGTGTTACGTGCGTAATATTAATATGAATTGTTTTGTTAAACTTTGACGCTTTCGTAAGTAATAACGCCATTATAATGATAACGTATAAAAATATCCATCCATGATGAGCAAAATGTGATTATCTATGATGGCCTTACATTATACATTCTTTATTTTTTTACTCAAATTTGTTATATTCGAAGTTATTTTGTTCATATTCAACATGGATGCAACACTTTCAATAAGATATGCAACGGAGATATAGCCAAGTCACTAATCTAAAGACGTAATGATTAAATTAATTTAAGTAGATAGAATTGTAGGTGGGGAATACAGATTATAATATAGCACCATGTCAATATCAAGTTGTGTTCTAAACACATGGTAGATATCAGTGTCACTGATCTACAACTATTCCCTAGTGCTTAAAATAATCTTGATACATCTTTATCACTTGTCAATCAACTTCTCTACTCCTATTTTAATTCGATTACAGATTTCATTAAATACTCCAATCTTTAGAAAATTAAGAACATTTCAATTGAATGAATTGGAGATAATAATATATACTCTGTTAGGCTACTCGTTCAGATATGATACCAAAATCTTGAAACGTCTCTCAATAATTTGAACACTTCTACCGGCCATCCATGTAACCTGTGTTAATCAAGGCATATTCGTAATTTAAAGCTGAAGGACAGCTCGGCTCACCACAAACCTTTTTACGAGTTAAAAAATTAAACACGTTTTAAGAACAAGGACAATAACTCATATTAAATATTTTTGTTCTGATTTTCAATAAGGTTCATCCTTTATCAAGAATTGTGCCTACACAGTGTTTATTGTGAGCGGTCCAAAGGACAGAGTAGACATGGTCACGCCTTCCTACACTCCTACATTTCATGTGGGCGTATAAATAAAAATTGCGACACCACAGCGGAAGTAACGAAATTTTGAAGTTTTTTATTTTGACTTTGGCCGATATGAACGTTTTCAACCGAGTTAAAGACTGGTGGAATAAAACATCACGCCCACACATTTAACAATATATCTTTTTCTTTCAGGGCCATATTCAATATTAAGTACAGAGACACACAGCCCAAACCAACCAAAACGAAAGAGAAGTTGGTCCAGAGCAGTTTTCTCTAACTTACAACGAAAAGGTTTGGAAAAGAGATTTGAAGTCCAGAAATATGTGACGAAACCTGACAGACGACAGTTGGCCGCCATGTTAGGCCTCACAGATGCTCAGGTATGATTTATACTGTTACAAAATCGAAACTTCGGTTTCTAATACAAAATAATAACAATGAATAACGTGATTTACTTGATTGCTTTACGTAAAACTTGAAAAAACCTCAAATGACATAAAATGTTCTAAATAAAACACCCATGAGATGATCTATCTAAGATACACAGTCTGCAGTACAATCTTATCGTTAGGTCTAATTATTTTGGCGTTGAAAGCCTTCCATACAAAAATCAAAATGACAAGAATGTAGAACCTCCCATCATTCGCTAAAAGTTTTAGAGATTATGTAGGCAAATGGAAGTTCTTACATTTCGCACTTGTTACCAGTTTAACTAAATGATTAGATGGTGTGAACCCTTTGCGCAATGGTACATCATAATTCATCAGAACAGATACTGAAAAAGGTCAAATTCTAAGGTGAAGCAACGCTAGTTTTATCAAAATACGAGTCTATTTTGTTGACATTGAAAAACGATTAGATGTAATAAAAGGCTAAGAACAAATTCATTAGTAGTGATAAAGACGAAGAAAAGATATTATTTATCACCTAATGAATTTGCCACTGTGACTAACGATCTGATAATATAAAAAGACCACCTCTAAGGAATATCTATTTTTATTACCAGAATGATTCCAGAAATTCCATTATTAAGCCTTACTTGTACATCATGCACTGGCGAATTTGGAACGATCGAGAACCATGCTCCTACAAATATTGCAGTATTGTTTTCAATAGACAGGCATTAACAAATATCTCTTTAAGTCTTTGTTCATAAATACATGGCCACAATTTGAAACAATGCTTATTTCATCATTTCAGGTTAAAGTCTGGTTTCAGAACAGAAGAATGAAATGGAGACATGCTCAACAACAGAAAGAAAAGGGAGAACAGACTGAATGTGACGACAAACCAGCTGATATGTTGGATTCAGATGAAGAAGACATTAATGTTACAGAAGATGCATCAGAGGAGGAATGGGAAGATGGTGAGAAGGTAATAGATGAAGATGCACATGAGGATGAAGCGTCTGTTTATGAAGAAAGTAAAGCTGCAAACTCGGTTTCAGAATCAACAAGTACCTGATCCTTGTCACTACTTTTTAAGAGCATATTTGATCAATGGCATTTTACATGTATATGTATATCCATCAAAGTTCAGAGAGAAAAAATATTTGTTGGTAGTCTACATTTGCATATATTACTTATGTTCACATAAGTAACATTTTCATTCACCCAGATCACTATAAACTATTGAACATTTGTTGAACATTCTGTGGAACCTATTGGTATAGTACACTTTAATAAAACATGGAAGCTGTAAATTATTATATTCTAGAGAATATTTAAAAAAAGAAGAAAAAGAATTCATTTTCAGTAAAACATAATTATGATAAGTCCAAAATGATTAGGTCAACATATAACGATATAAAACAAATGGCACTATCATAACTCTCACACTAAATTGGACGAAAATAATTAAAACAGGGGATTAATGTCGTAGTCAAAATCATTCATAATAAATCGCAACATAATCTTATAAGACCCGAAACTCATGTAAACTGAGTTTTGACTTAACATTTATATTATAATATCAACATTATTATTTGTAATATACATTATGTAATATGTATATTTTGATAAATAAATAATTGTTAGTTTGTTCTTTGTTTATCTGTTCATTTACTATATCACATGATGAAAACAGAAAAGAAACGTAACGTATTCATAATTAATGTGAGACTGGAAGATTGTGATTGTGTGAAATAGATTGAATACAAGGTTTCCTGTCTGTACGATAAGGTTACTCATCTACCAAACTAACAGTATCGCAGCATCCCCAGATCCAACTACCACAATTACCTAAGCTGTGATATCAGCTTTTGCTGGAAGCTGTTGTCACCACCACCAATAAGGTTATTTCATGTATGCACATCTACACACCATTTCTCTGTAGCCTATTGATCATCAACGTTAGCCAAAGTGAGGAATCTGTTTTGGACCAAAAATAGAAATATCAACACAATGTAAACAGGGAATGATATACAGGTTTTGTGAATGACAAGTTGGAAGATAGGGTGTAAAATTGTTAGTTTGTTCTCAGCAGGTGTCAGTACCATCAAATATCTTATCATATATTTATATACAAGTAATTAGTATTTCAAACTACTAATAGTTACTGTTGATAGGTGTACACTTACTTTGACTATCATATTCTGACTGTCTCTATAGGAGTGTTATTTTTATCAATAGACACACAGTGGGGGTAGAGAGCAAGGATGAATGATATGATCAGATCAAAGGCAGTGGTAATATATACAGTTTATCAACAATCACACAATGCAGATTTGACAAGAAAATCAGCAGTGGAATTTGACATGAAATTAAATGCATTATTATATGAATTTCTCGTTATCTAGTTTCCTTCACTGCGGATCAACACTGGTTTAAATGAGTATAGAGGGAATAAGTGAAGCGCATTTTGTTGCAAAAAAATCAGGCAATCATCCAATGCCTTTGCGCAGTGGTAACGCATTTCCATTAGAGGTCCTACATATCGTAAACAATTTCAGTTTGATTGTTCAACAGAGAGCGTCAAAAATGCTCTGATCACCATTATATGGTTAGATTATCATTGTAACATTCACCAAAGTTGACCATATTTCAGGTGAAACATGTCTAATTTGTGAGAATAACATGCATGTCACTTGACATAAAGATACACCGGTGTTAAAAATGAAGAGGTCCTAATCATTCCTCGTGAATAATGGTCGTGTCAGCTTCAAGTAAAACAAATACAAGTCAAGTTTTATCACTTTCAAAATAACTTAAAAATTTATCTTCTGTCTAATTATTCTCTCGTTTAATTTTAAAACGGGCAGAACGGCTTCAATTAGTAATGACATTGTTTACTCATCAATAGATAACTAACACCATGATTTACTGCTATCAGATTTATTACCATTACTATAACACTGTTAGTGCCACCCTCGACTTCACGTGATGATACATTGCAGAAGTAACTTAAAACACGTGGTTACAGGATTGATAATGACAACAGGGAATCTTAATTCTAAATTCAATGATGTCAAAAAAGGTAATGATACATGTCAAGATGTCGGCATATTCAGCATTGAAACAAACTGATGTTCTGCAATTACGAGAACTATCTGTTTCATCTAGATAACTAGACCTCTGAGGCTAAGCCGCCAGCTATTGCTGCCACAAGCCACCGTCGGTCTGCTTTATAACCCATGTATGATAAAAAGTAAGTTCTCACAAACATTGTTGTCTGAAATTCTGGAAGTTTGAATCTCATTTAACACAAACTTTCCACTTGTCTTCAAGTTGTATCTTACTTGATCTGGACTAAAATGTTGAAATTTGAAATCAGCATAGGTCTTTTCAGTTAATAAATTCCTTTGCAACCAATTTAGAAAATTGAATCCTTGTAGAATTGTAGATTGTCTGTAGAGTGGGCACCAGCAAAATAAGTGAAAAAAAAACGAACGCGATATCAGAGTTTTATGCGATATCTGGAAAGAAAATCATGGGATCATCACCAAATTAAATAGTGCACATCTTCGTCGGATCATCACCAAATTAAATAGTGCACATCTTCGTAATGATATTGACACACATACAAAAGATCAAAGGAATTCATGGAGAATTGTAGCCTGAAGAGTGAGCACGAGGTAAATATGAACGGGCGGACAGACGGACCGACAGGGGCAACTACAATATACGCCCATACTTACGTGTGGGCGTATAAAAATCAAAGCTGCCGGTGGGCGTATATTACATTGCCTGGCAAGCTATCTTTGGTTATGGAATCGGTCAGTTTTAGTCGGAGAGAATCATTTAACATCCTGATTAGTGGCACTTTGTGCGAAAGGTATTTTTAGCTCAAAGCTGCGGTGCGGCTAGCCAGCTGGTGTTATGTATGTCAAGCCAGCCACAGCCACCAAAGGTGTTGGCTTAGCTGTAGCTTCGAATTCCGGTGTCTTTGTTCCTCCGACAGGTCATTTCGAGTCTTGATATTCGCGTTTTCATGACACTGGCTACAATAAAAATTTAGAATGTTCTTATTATGTATGATGAAACGAAACAATAAATAAATCTTTTCAATTTTCAACATGAAATTTTGTGACAATAAGTATCGTATACGTTAAGATAGCAAATGTTTAGCCACCCCACTGTATCACCATCATAGCGTTATAAATATAGTTATTATATACATCTATGAGCCGCATGAAACAGCTCCGTGCTCCGTGCGAGGTCAAAATAGTCCGAAACATACAAGTCTACCCCATAGTCTACTTATGCCAAAACAGTTACTTCTGACAATTTACATTTTTTACATCTTTAATCCAAACTTTACCGATCTAGTAGTATCATGCGATTTAACCGTTAATTATTTTTGTCAATAACTCCTATGAAAAATATTTCGATTTTTTTGATTTTCCACGGGTAATAATGAACAATTTTACCAAGTTTCGTCAATATCTGTCAAGAATTGAGCCTTCTATAATGTTTACAAGCTAAAAATTGAACGGCAATATACGCCCCCATTTAATGTGGGTGTTTCGTTTCATCAGACATAAGAAAAATTCCAACCTTTTATTGCAGCCAGCGTTAAGAAAAAGTGCTTTCCAATTCGCGAATATCAAGACTCAAAATGACCTGTCAGTGTCGGAGCCGTCGGAGAAACCACGACACCGACTAAAATCTTACATAATACATCAGATTTCAAGCATGTATGCTATGTTTAATATGAACTGAAGACAAGGTGTCCTCTATTGGTTCTATTACGTCCGCGCAAAATGTTGACAAATACAATTTTAAATATTAATAAATTGTATCCAATACACCCGCTTGGAATTATCTTCTCGTTTTAGTTAAGTACTGTGATATCTGTGTAACCCAATCTCTGAGATTATATTGGTATTTAAAGAGTATCTGTTAGAGAGTTTTGTTGATAGACAAGAACCATATACAATCATTGCTCTTTATTTAGTCATTTCTTAGTCTATTTCTGCATGGTGGTGCCAGATTTACTTCCGAAAGGGAGCGAGATATCTGAGATTGCACGAATCTCTAACCTAGTTATGCACGGAAGACTTGCCTTCGGGGCTGCGAGGGGCTCCCTCTAGACTCCGCCACTGCATTTCTGGCCATAATATATTCCGGCCGATTTAGCTAAAACAATAGAATTTCAAAAAAATATTCATAATTGATATTTTACATTTATATATTAAATTGTGTACTCTACCCCTAAATATCGCTTAAAGATTTTTAACATGTTATATATTAATATGACAAATAATATTGCTACATTGTAGATATATTCACAATAAAGACCTTGACTACAATTTAGGATTTGATATTGCTCTTGAATTAGTTCCTACTATAAATAGTGGAAAACAAATTGTGAGATTTTCGAGATTCGAAGTATTTCGACTTACTAATAATAACAGCTGATTCATTGTTTTCATTGAAATTTATTCACTGATATGACATCAAGTCAGAAATATACATTACAGAAATATACATTAATTTCTTCAAGTTAATCATCTGTTAGTGGTTCATTCACAATTTTCCCACTTTTATGTTGTGAAGTAGATATTTTATGTATATTAAAGACGAACTGCATATAAACATGATATCAAGTTACCTTTATTGCTTTCTTTCACTATTTAATGTTTTATCACGCAGTCACCATCTTGACTAAATCCTACATTTTATGTTCACAAGAAACTGATAAATCAAGTTTTTAAGGGTAAACATCCTGATATCTGCTTAGACATTATTGATAGGGTGGCTCTGAGTAGTTTTCACTGGTCTTCAATATGCTCTCGGCCA